ACATGGTAACAAAAACGCGTAAGATTAAATAAAAAAAAATTCGAAAAATTTAACTATAAAAATAGAGGGTGTAAAAAATCAGAGTTCCGATTGTGACCGCGCGTAAATCGCGTGCGTGTCGAGAGACTATATTATATATAATAATACTATTTTATCTACGACGAAAAAACGTATAACCATGATATTAAACGTCATATATATGTACAGATTATTATGATACTATGGTAGGCGTATATAAGTACTATTATATATTATATGCATCGTAGTCATCGACGCGCGCGCGACTTCATACTGTATATATATATATATATATTAAAGATGATATCGGAATTTTGTGTGTTTTCCACGGGTCGTTTGGGTCACGTTCGCTGCAGCAGCTAGTGGCGACAGTCTATTGTGTATATTATATCGAAAAAGAACGATAATGACCGTACCCGGTCAGCTCGCTTGTGCTCGGGCACGTCGTCTCATATTTAATGGAAAAACACGTCTTTTCGTCGCGGGTTTTCTTATTATTTTTCCACCCTCCCTCCCCCCTCTCGATCAATACTTACTCGGAATCACGCGTATACAATAGTTTTTTTTTTTTTATTATTATTTTCGTTCCGTCCGTGTTGTAATAACACAATAATAATAAATAGTAATAACAAAATAAAAAATACTAGAAGCTACCCTATATATATATATATATACACCATCATTGCATCTACAATATATACGCGACTATATACCGATATGATGCGTAGTCGTACATTTTGCCGTCGGCATCAGAAAATTCATGAAACGGATCGACCGTGTGCGTAGCAGCCGCCGCTGTTGTATATACATTATACATCATTGACGTTTTAATCGATGTGTCTACTCGATGCTGCGTCAGTGAAAGAAAAAAAATTTAAAAATGTCTAAATAAATCGTCCACGACGCAGAGCCGCATCGTACACCGATGTGTTTAATAATAATTTTATTAGTACTATATTTTCATATTATCACAGGTATATCTCTACAGCCTTGCACATACTACTCGTATATAAAATCATATCACTAATAATATCCAGCTGCTGATTCTGAATACATATTATTTTTATATTGATTGGTTGATCTGATACGATGTCCGTCTTTCCGCTGTTATTACTTATTTTTATTATCCTAACAAACTGTTGTCAAAATATAGTGTCCGTGGTTATTATTATATTATGTATCTATATTATAGGTATATATTATTATTATTTATTATTATGCGTATTAATACGTTCAAGAGGAACCCGTCTTCATCGTCGTTTAAACACCAATAATAAATATTATTAAAATAGGAATGGGTTTATTTTACTTGTCCCCTCGTTCGCTGTGAAATCTCCGAGGTTTCTTTGTAGCTGACAATTATTATATATACTAAATATATATTTTAATGAAAACGTATTTTTCATGTGTAAGTTTTTGGGTGTACTCTGCGCTATATAAATAAATGCATCTAATGACACGTATTTCATTTCCCATTTCCTTCCGAAATACAATTCTATATCATTATAATAATTTGTATAAAGTTCGAACGCGYTATTATGGTACATTTATATACCTCTATAATAACATGACCATGGGGTATCTCTTATATAATAATATACAACTAAAAACACGCACTAAAAATTACCAGTTTTAATTTACTAACTAATTGTATTTTTCACTAACGCGAGTGCGCGAACATTCTATACATTATATTATTATGTGTGCGACTGTCTGCGAGTGAATTTTTACAGAACAACCAATAGATTTATAAATTGTATTAATTACCCAACGAAAACGCTCGAGTTTAGTATATTATTATGATATATTACAATTAAGACGATTTGTTTTTGAAATACACATTCCGTCGTTTCCCGTCGAATGGCCTTCGTATCCGTTCGCTAAATGCATATAATGATAATAGATTCTTTACACAGTAATGACAGTAATGTTACTATAATATTACATGAGATAAGACGCGAAATAATAAATTATACAGACTAATGACCCCGTAGTTGTTGAAGCCTTTATTAACCCAGTAAAAAAATGAATGAATAAATAATCTTAAGCTAAATAATAAAAAAAAATGTATACGCAAAATTCTACGACCCACAATACAACATGTAAATATCAGAGCACTTAAAACAATTAATATAACATAGAAAATTCATGGTACACGTGAACATAAATAGCTTAAAAGTGCAGCCTTTTTTTAATTRTACTTGTATAATATTAAAAATCAAAACAGAGCGTTTAAAATATTGTTTTCTAATCCGGTCCGTGTTGTTATGTTGTACAGGACCAAATGGAAACGTCAAACGGCAGTGGGCYTGGAACTGTTGGCCGAGGCAGGCAACTACGCGGCATTCCAGCGTCTTTACGGCGGACCTCCATACGGCTGCTGGCCTTACCCGGCTGGCGCCGCGGGGGCCGCCGGTGGCGTCTCCGGCGGAGGTGGCGTATCGGGAGCGGGCGGCGCACCGTCTGCCGCCGACCTGTACTACCGACAGGCGGCCGTGGCCGCGGCCGCAGTGTCCACGCTCCAGAAGCCTCTGGCCTACAGGCTGTATCCCGGCATGGCGGGCGCACCCGGGACCGCGGGCTCCGGAGCCGGCGCGTCCGGCCACCATCACCATCACCACCACATACCGCCTCCGCCAGTGCCGCTCGCCCACCCGATGTACTACGGTGGCGTCCACCATCCGGCCACCATGCAACCGATGCCCGGCCGCAGCCCGACACCCGAACCGCCCGGCCGGTCGTCCCGCGGCTCACCCTGCAGATCGACGGTGGACAGCCGGCCCGGTTCGGTGGACGTCGAAGACGACAGGTCCAACTCGCCCAACGTGGACGTTTAAGCGACGACCGCGGCGCGCTGACCCACCGCGTGCCATATAATATACCAACATAGCACCGCGCGCGTGGCCGTATTATCATACATATTRTAATAGTATGTCACTCGTTGTCGTGTTTAAGTGCAGCTGCAGTGTGCGCGCGTGTCTACAAYAATATTCTTGTATTATATACATGAGGCACTGTACAACGCACCCTCAAACATATACACCCACCTAGTCGTCGTTTACTCTTTTTATTATTATTATTATTATTATTACTATGGTTATGATTAATTTTTATTATATATTATATGTATATGTATATTATATATATTTTGAGTTCCGTACCGACCCTGACGCAAAAATGTTTTTTTTTTTTTACATTATTTCTATTATTATATAATGTGAGAAATTATATTATTATGGTAAACTTCATTACGTACTATAAATATATAATAATAATAAATATTATTATTATATTATATATGTTTTTTAAGAAAACCTTCGACACAGAAAAAATCTAAGTATGATGTATAACTCACATACGTCATACTCATATTAATATATTATAAATTATAATTCCCTCCTAAAGTACAAATATTTTATATTTTATTTATTCGTAGTCAACCCGTTGATATGATATAATATTATATTGCAGGTACTGGTTTAACACATTTTTCAGTAAAGAAAAATATCCGAATTTGTTCGTTAAACACGCGTGTAGGTATTTGTTATTAATATTAACATTATGAACTCGTATCGAAGATTTTGTTATGCATTTGTTCAAACCTTTTTTTATTTTTATTTTCGTTTCAATAAAACTATGTCTGTAAGCCAGAGACTTTAACGTTCGTTAACCATCCGATTACTAGTGAGTGAAACGATACATCACTGTAATACGTGGATACTATGCATAATATAATTATCTTGTTTATTAACATACATATTATTTGGAATAAATTGTATGTCTATTAACTTTTGATGTAGGTATGTTTTTCATAATTTTGCTTACCACGATTATTATTATTATTATTATTATTATTATTATTGTAAATATTACTTAGATATTACTATTGTTAGATACAAATATTGTATATATAGATACAGCGTAAGTGATAAGTATTAATAATTTATTGCGTATGTATATTACAACGTAGTGAGTAAGTAATTATAAATAATTATATTATACGAAGTCGTGCAATGTAATAATAATTATTAGACTATACGTATATATATATATATATATTATATATATAGACATTTTATTAGTTAAAACCGTAATATAATAATAATTGTATATTGTACTATTTCGTTGTCAGGCTTGGTATATAACTATAATATGTATATTTTATTTGAAGCATAATATATATGTATTGATATACGATGTCTGTCATGTAATCGTCGAGTGTATAGAAAACACGGTCGTGCCAAAAAAAAA